TGTCCAAATTTCCTCTTCCTCCAAGGCCCAGGTAGGTATTTTCAGCGAAGCATTAGGGCCTTATCCATACAACTGCGTGTGGTTCTGCCCGGATGGCTCTTGCCCCTTCCACTGGGAGAACTGGCTTTACCCAGGTCCATCATTCATTATCGCTTATGCTTGTCTTCCCCACAGCTGAAGCTCTGTGAGAGTTAAAGCTATATTTCATACATTTTTATACCCCCAACCTTGTGACTGGGAGCTCTGGTGGCATAGTGCCAAGGCATTTGACTGCTAACTAGAAGGCTGGCGGTTTAAACCCACCACCCACCAGAAGGAAGATTGGGCAATCTAATTAAGTAGAGATACCACCTCAGAAACCCAAGGAGGGGTCACTATGAGTCAAATCAACTCGACGGCAGTGAGTTTGGTTTTTTTTGGTTAACCTTGTGACTAATTCAAAAACAAAAACAAAAAACAAACATTGTCATTGAGTCAAATCTGACTCGTAGTGACCCCTGCTTGGGTTTCTGAGGTGGTATCACTACGGAAGTAGATTGCCCAACCTTCCTTCCGAGGAGTGGCTGGAGGGTTTGAACCGCCAGCCTTCCGGTTAGCACTCAGTATCCTACAAATAGTTTGTTGTTAGTTGCCATGGAATTGGCTCCAACTCCTAGTGACCTTATATACAAAACGTCGCCAACTCCTGGACCATCTTCATGATGGTTGGTGTGTTCGAGTTCATTGTTGCTGCTGCTGTGCCAATCCATCACTTGGAAGGTTTCCTTCATTTTCACGGACACTCTACTAAACATGAAGCCCTGTTCTAGCAATTAGTCTTTCCTAGTGATATGTCCAAATAAGCAAGCCAAAGTCTCACCATCCCCATTTCTAAGGAGCACTCTGGTTGTATTTCTTCTAAGACTGGTTTGTCTGTTCTGAGTGTTCTAGGTATGTTTATTGAATGAATGACCCATACTTTTTTTTTTCCTAATGAACTATATTTTGATCTATAGTCATGATGGCCATTGCATGACATTTGTTTTTTTGTTTGTTCATTCATTTATTTATTCATGTAGTCTCCTAATACTGGTCAGCCAATGTGTTAGGCATAGATTATAAAGAGAAAGAAGGCAAATTCCAATGAGGTGTGTCCTTACACAGGCATGTATAAAGAAGAGTTATGATCAGCACTAGGACATCCTACCATACTCCCATCAGCACTTGTGGCCTCTTTGTAAAGACAAACCACTTTGGTTTGCAGAGGAGTGGGTGATTTAACATCTCGAAATAACTTGAAGGAGGAAAAATTCCCAAAACGTTTCTATAGGCTAAACTCAAATCATGTATTTCTCATAATTCCTTCTCAGTTTAGCTCCATCTCCACAATAATGGAGATAATAAGAAGAAGGATAGAAAGATAGGTAGGTAGACAGATAGATAGAGATATTAGATAGATAGACAGATTGATACTGTCAAGTTGACTCCAACTCATGGTGAGCCTTTGTACAATAGAAGAAAACATTGCCCAGTCCTCTGTGATCCTCATAATCTCCAGGCATGTTTGAGTCCCTCATTGCAGCTGTTGTGCCAATCCATGTCACTAAGGATTTCCCTCAACCTTGTTGACCCTCTACTTCACCAAATATGATGTATTTATCTAGCAATGGATCCCTCCTGATGATATGTCTAAGAAACTCTGGTGGCTTAGTGGTTACCAACCAAAAGATCAGTGGCTCAAACCCACCAGCCACTCCATGGGAGAAAGATAAGGCAGTCTGCTTCCATAAAGATTTATAGCCTTGTGGGGCAGTTCTACTCTGTTCTTTAGAGTCTCTATGAGTCAGAATTGACTCAATGGTGATGGATTTGGTTTTGGGGTTTTGGTGATGTGTCCAAAGCAAGCGAGTCAGATAGTGTTCTGTTGTGATCCATAAGGTTCTCATAAGGAGATCACCAGGCCTTTCTGACTAGTCTGTGTTAGCCTGGAAGCTTCACTGAAATCTGTCCACCACAGATGACATGTTCTTTGAAATACTGATAGTGTAGCTTCCAGCATCATAGTATGTTAATAAGTGTGTTAATCATTGGCACTACATAGGGACTTCTCTGGTTGCATAGATGAGAAGAACTGGTTCCCCTGACTGGTTAGCTTCACTGAGCCTTGGGTCTGTTTCTTGAAGCCTGAGTGATGGTTCACCAGGTGGAGGTGGGTAAAGGCATTCTCAGCAGTGGGAAGAGTATGGGTAAAAGGTCAGCACATTTCATGTAAGCTTAAGTTACATGAGTTAAGAGATATGAGTCTGAAAAGATTGAATTGGAACAGATTGTGAAGTTCTTGCTATGCAGCATGAAAGTCTTTGGTTTTTAATGTGATTCCTCCTAGAAGTTTGGCTCTCCTCTGACTAACCCATCCCCAAAAGGTGTTCCATTGGTAACCTATGCCATTTCCCCTTGCCACTGCCCCTTGCCTCCCAGGACTTCAGGTCCTTCTTTCTATCTCACTTTAGAGCCAACATCTGTGGACTGGAACGTGTCATCCAACCGGCAGGCGCATCACACAGACAGATTCTACAGCCCAGAACTCATCTTGCGGAGAGGCCAACACTTCCGTATATCGTTGGGTTTCGATAGAAATGTGGACTCTGAACAAAATCTGACCTTCACAGTCTCCACAGGTACCTGCTCACCCACCTCACACCTGATTAGCCCTTGGGGCTGTGTATACATCTGGTGGTGGTAACACTAGGGTCACTGAGCCTTGGGCTCCAGCCCAGCTCTGCACCTGACTGAGTGTGACTTTGGGAAAGTTGCTGAAGTGTCATCATCTTCAGATAAAGAGGGATTTGGCCAGTATGGTCTCCTCAAGTTGATTCCAGGGTTATAATGTGGTCTGCATTGGTTGACATTCCCCACAAGTTGTATTGGAACCTGATCTCTCCCACAGTCTGGCCAGCACTCCCTGGTTTCCATGGTTCTCTATCTCCTTCAACAGGGCCTTACCCCTCGGAGTCGGCCAGGACGAAGGCTGTGTTTACAATCTCCAACAGAACAAGTAATGGCTGGAGTGCAGAGCTCCAGGCCAGCCAGGGCAACACTCTGACCATCCTCATCTCCAGTCCTTCCAATGCACCCATAGGACAGTACACACTGAGCCTTCAGAACTCCTCCTCCTCCTCTGTGAAACTTGGAACGTTCATACTCCTCTTTAACCCCTGGCTGCAAGGTAGGCATCTAACCACCAATATTCCCAGCCACCAACCAAGCACAGCCCATGGAAAGGAGGTGAAGAATGACTTCACCTGGCTCAGGTTTGATTAGGGAAATTTGGGACTATAGAAATAGCACAGAAGTAGAAGTCAAAAGCCATAGTTTGAGTCACTCTGGGCAATCACTCTTATCAGCTGTGTCACTTTGGGCAGTCACTCTACCAAGAGGAGCCTCTTTCTATGGATTTTCTGCTGTCTCCTCTGGGGCTGTTGTGAGGATTTTGTGAGCTCAAACAAATGGCATGTTGTTGTTGTTGTTGTTATGTGCCGTCAAGTCGGCCCTGTCTCATAGCGACCCCTCCTTGGGTTTCCGAGGCAGTATCACTACGGAAGTAGGATTGCCCAACCTTCCTTCCGAGGAGTGGCTGGTGGGTTTGAACCACCAGCCTTCTGGTTAGCAGTCAAGTGCTTTAGCCATTATGCTACCAGAGCTCCTAACAAATGGCATGGCATGGTGCAATTGTAAGAAGCAATGACCACGGTACATTCTGCACATGGAGATAACTTCCTGACTGAAGGAGCATCTGTAGTGAGCAAGTTTTTCATCCCTGAGGTCTCATTTTCAGATCCTCAGTCATCCCAGCTGTTTTTTCCAGCTCAATATCCCCACAGTTTGAGTTGGAACAGTACAACCCAATGCTAATTCCTAGGTGGAGGTTGAGGGAAGGGCTGAGGTGGGCATTGCTCCAGCCCCCAGTTTAGTCCTCAGGAGAAGGAGAATAACTGATCTCTCTAATATTCTGTAGGATTCTAGTCCCTGTTATGTGCTTTTTGTGTCAAATAGCGGATGCTGTCTTTATGAGTAATGCTGCTGAGAGAGAGGAGTACGTTCAGCAAGATGCTGGAATCATCTATGTCGGAAGTGCAAATCGCATTGGCATGGTTGGCTGGAACTTTGGACAGGTAAAAGGGTCATAAGAAAGCTGAGGAACATGTCTGTATTACTCAAGGAGTTCAGCAGCTGGCCCCATAGTCAGGTAGAAAGCCTGTCATCTGTCCATCTGTCTGCCCTTTTATTCATTCATTTGTTCAGAAGACATTTATCAGCCACCTACTATGTGCCAGGGCTCCAGCTTCACACTAAGGATATAAGAGAAGAATAAGACAGAATTTCTATCTTTAAGGAGCTCACCACGTACTGATCAAGACAGACCTATAACTGAATTGGTGCATTGAAGTATAATTGGCACCCTGGTACACAAAAAAATAAAAGGCCCAGTAGAGGCACTCAGGGCAGAATATAAGTAGATTTAGTTTCTGTTTCTCATCCTATGTGCAAGTATGGTGATACTTCCTTGTTGTGTGCACTAGGCCTTTTAAAGCCATAGTCTCTTGGTCCCTTATTATGTTAGCTCCTATCCGAGTCCTCAAGTTTTCCTGGTTTGCTTAGAAAAATTTCAGAGATTCCCTACACTTTTTTTTCTCCCCCCAGCAGACAAATGCAGGCATTGGATGAGGTACATTAGATGAGGTGCCTTGGTCAACCAGGAGGGGTGGGCAGTTGCATGCTCTGCCTTTCTCCAAACCCCATCCCATAATCAGCCAGACTGATTCTTCTGTTCCTTCTTCTACATGTGTCAAATGTCATTTGGAATAAAAAAGAACTAGAATAAGGGTTCAGAGTAGACCTAAGGATGAATAGGGGCCTGGTTTTGATAAAGGGGTCAGGGGAATCCTCTGTTAGGAAGAGACATTTAAGCAGAGATGTGAAGGAGGTGAGGAGAGGGGCCATAGAGATATCTTGGGAAAAAGCATTTTAGGTCGAAGGAATGGCAAATGTGAAAACCCTAAGACAAGAGGAAGCTAGTCCTTCTTGGATTAGACCTCAGTTTGAGAAGTAGTGACTTAAAAGTTTCATTTTGTAAAATGGTTTCAAATACCTCTTTAAGCAGGATATTTTATAACTAATGCCCCAGAAGTCTAAATAATGTGCTCAGTAACACAGACCATTGGAGCCAGAAGGATACTTTGAGATCAGCATGGCTCAATCCCTCATTTTACAGATGGGGAGACCAAGTCCTAGACAGGCTCAGTGACTTGCTCCAGGGTCTGTGACAGTGAGGGAACTGGCCATGCCATGCTTCCTCCTGTTCACTTCAAGGGACTCAGCACTGTGCCTTATGTATCTAAGAAGTACCAGAAGAGTGTACAGAGCTGGGTGTGGCACCTGTTGGGTGTGGCACATGTTCCTTGGATGCTCTACTTACTTCTAGAGGCCAAGGAGTGGAAGAACTCAGACAGTTCCTATGGCTCTCACCAGTGTGGCTCTCATACACCTGACTAGCCTAAACTATTTGTCATTTCTTTCATTCTAACACCGAGTCCCATCTTTTAACAGTTTGAGCAGGACATTCTGAGCATTTGCCTCTCAGTTCTTGATAAAAGTCTGAATTTCCGCCGTGACCCTGCTACTGATGTGGCCCGCAGAAATGACCCCAAATATGTTGGCCGGGTACTGAGTGCAATGGTGAGTAATAGGAAAATGATAACTAGCTGTTACCATTTATTGAATACCAACTTTGAGTTAAGCACAAGCACTCTTTTTTTTTTTTTTTTTAATTTGTTGTGATTTGGGTGAAAGTTTACAATGCAAATTCACTTTCCATACAGCAGTTCACATACACTTTGTCTCATGACATTGACTACAATTTACCCCAATGCAACAGCTCCCCTCCCACTTCCTCTAGATAATTACCTCTTCCTTGTGTCCATCCTTCCATGCACTGTCTCCCTGTCCATAAACAGCCCTTCCTTCTCTCATGATTGTACTCTCCAAGGAGTGTATCTACCTCAGGTAAATGTTCAACTCATATGCCGTCTTTTGTTTGGCTGGAAACCACAAGTGTGGGTTTAGTTCCAGACCTGAAGGGCAGCGAGGGGGCCGTAGTCTCAGTGGTTCTACCAGGCTCTTTCAGACCAGCAAACCTGGTCCCCCCCCACTTTTTTCTTTCCCCAGATGATTTTGAGTTTTGTTCCACATTGCTCTTCCACTCTATCCAGAATCTCTAACATAGATCCCACTCCAAGTAGTTGACAGTGGTAGCTGGGCACCATCTATTTCTTCTGGTCTCATAATCATATAGGCTGTGGATCACATGGTGTACCAGTCACTAGGACTAATTGTTTCCAAGAGTCTTTGGTTTTCATTTTTCTTTGCTCTGGATGAGAAGAGACCCATCGTTGCATCTAGATGGCTGCTTGCAAGCTTTTAAGATCCCACTCGCTACTTGCCAAAGTAGGAGGTGGAGCAATGTTTTGTGTGGTATGTTATGCCAATCGAGCTAAGCACAAACACTCTTTACACATATCATCTCATTGAAGTCTTCTCACAAAATAGCACCAGCACCACCAATTACCTTGAGTCAATTGTGACTCATGGTGACCCATATGTGTCAGAGTTAAACTGTTCCACAGGGTTTTCAGTGGCTGTTTTTTCAGTACTAGATCTCCAGGCCTTCCTTTTAAGGCACCTCTAGGTAGACTCAGACCTCCAACCTTTCACTTACCAGCCATTTTTTCCTCACAAAATACAGTCGGTAGTTATTATCATTCCCATTTTCAAAAATGGAGTGTGAGACTCTTCTGACTTCAAGAACTTTCCTGAAATGCTCAGGGAATGAGAACAGGCCCCAGGTCTCCCTGGCTCCAAAGCCCAATGCCCTTTCCACTTTGTTGGGAGGTCTTTCTCAGATGATGAGGGAAAGTTGCCCTTTGGTGCCCCCAGGGACAGGAGAAAACAGATCTGAGACCCATTGCATTGCTGAACATCCTGGGAAAGGAGGCAAGTTTGTAGAAAATCACAGTGCTGAGCTCCTTAGCATTGATCCATCTCTCCCACAACACAGAGCACTGAGTGTCACAATGGGAGGCCACCAGGCCAGCCCACTCTTTATCTACATGGGGAACCAAAGCCCAAGGAACAGAAGTGACTTGCTCACAGCCACACAGCCTGGGAGTCAATCCAGAGCCAGTTCTTGAGCTGCCTGCCCTGGGCTTCTTTTCTTTCACCTGGGCCATCTGCATGAGAGAGGCCTATCCCACACCTGCAAGCAGTCCCCAGAGGAACCCATCATCTGCTCTCAGTGTGCAGACAGAACAGGGCCCCGAGAAAGTCTCCAAACAAGGACAAGCCTGTTACAAATTTACAAGTTTAAAGTCCAGGAGAGTTCTTTAAACTAAATTATTACTCGACATGTTTTTAATTGTTTTTCTTTTAAAAATAAGATAAATAACTGATTAATGAACTAGGCATTTCTTGGTCTCTTTACTTTGGAGTTAGATAATTTCCAAGCTAACATATTAGTTATATGGTTACAAATTTAGACAACCTTTAGATTGCATGATAAATATCTGGGGAGTTGTCAGAAGGGACTTGTTGTACCAGATGAGTCTTAAATTGGGCCTTGAAGGAAAGGAATAGGGTAGGGGAAGGGTGGGGCAGTGATGGTTTGGTGGTAGAATTCTCACCATCCGTATGGGAGAGCTGCATTTGATTCCCAACCAATGCACGTCACGTGCAGCCACTGTCCTTCTCAGTGGAGCTTGCATCTTGCTATGATGCTGAAGGTTTTGGCAGAGCTTCCAGACTAAGAAAACCAAGGAAGAAAGTCTTGGTAAACTACTTCTTTAAAAATCAACCAGTGAAAAACCCAGTGGAGTACAATGGTCCTATCTACAGTCAATCATGGGATGGTACAGGACTGGGTGGCATTTTGTTCCATTGCGCATGGGGTCTCCATGAGTCAGGGACCAACCAGACAGCAGTTTACAACAACAGGGGTGGGGTAGGCCCAGGGAAGTTGGAGGCAAAGAGGAAGTGGATGAGGACTAGAGCAGCTCTGGAAGGATAGGGAGAGGAATTGGGCTTAAGCTGAACCTCAAAATCCAGATAGATTGAAAACCCAGTGGCCTGGGAAGGGTGACCTTAAAGCCAAGGCAGGGGGGAAGTGAAGTTGGATGACTTCTGAGGCTGAGCCTCTCCAGCCAGGAGAGAGTGGGTGAGGCTGCAGGCTCCCACAGCTGCTGACTCACTGCCCCTCAGGACAAACCACTTTATCTTGGTGCCAGTCTCCTCAGTTGCACCTCCAGACCTCCCGGTTGGGCTGGACCCTGAGCTAGTTATGGCTTGTGCAGAGCTTTGAAATGCTCAGCCAGAGATGACCTTCCTGATTACCACCATGGTGGCTACAGCAAGAGTGACTCAGGAGAGGGGGAGGATGCACATCTTCCCTCTGAGGAGGCCCCATCGTGCCCTGTCCTATGATTCTAGCCCAGGCTCTCCCAGGTGGGTTCGCAGAGCTCCCCCACAAGATGGAGGGTTTGGGAAGTCTTGGCTGGCCTGGGCAAGCCAGTTTTCACAGCCTTGCCCCTTGCAGAGAGCAGTCAAATGTGGCCTGCTAGTCAAAAAACCCACCCACTGTTGAGTCGATTCCAACTCTTAGAGACATTCTAGCACAAAGTAGAATTGCCCCATGGGGTTTCCAAGGCTGTAATCTTTAGGAAAGCGGACTGCCACATCTTTCTCTCACAGAGCAGCTGATGGGTTTGAACCACCAATATTTGGCTAGCAGCCGAGGGCTTTAACCACTGCACCACCAGGCCTTCTCCCAAGTCAAAGCACTTTTAAATTCATAACATTCTGTGTGTATGGGAGCTCTGGTAGCATAGTGCCTAAGGCACTTGACTGCTAACCAGGAGGCTGGTGGGTCAAACCCACCAGCCACTCCTCAGAAGGAAGTTTGGGCAATCAACTTCCATAGTGATACTGCCTTGGGTCGCTATGAGTTGGGTCTGACTCAAGGCACATAACAACAACAACAAAAATCTGTACACATAAAAACCAAACATGTTGCTTCCCCAGAGAGAGGGAGAAGAAATCATGGGTCTCAGATCTGGACGGCTCTCAGAGACCACTGTCTATCCTCTCATACCAAAAAAAAAAAAAAAATCAAGCTCACTGCTGTCGAGTCTGATCCAACTCATAGTGACCCCTCCTTGGGTTTCTGAGGGGTATCACTACAGAAGTAGATTGCCTAACCTTCCTTCCAAGGAGTGGCTGGTGGGTTTGAACCACTAGCCTTCTGGTTAGCAGTCAAATGCCTTAGGCCCTGCACCACCAGAGCTCCTAGACTCTTGTACAGTTGAGATCAATGACAAAGCTCCTTAGACTGAACACTTGACTGCTGGACAGCACCTGAGAACTTTAGTTTGTTTCTAACCTTCCCTGTATTGGAATGATCAATGAGCTGACCAAAGGCAAGGCTAGGCTTGCAACCCAGCTTCCACCTTCACTTTCCCCTTTAACTTTTGATTATGAAAGAGTTCAAGGAGGTCCAATGGTGCAGTGCCTAAGGCATTTACCTGCTAACCAGAAGGTTGGTGATTCAAACTCCCCAGCCACTCTACAGAAGGAAGATGGGGCAATCCGTAAAGATTTACAGCTTTGGAAACCAAATGGCTGTTGCTACGAGTCAAAATCGACTCAATAGCAATGAGTTTGGTTTTTGAATTTTATGGAAGAGTTCAGACAGACATGGAAGTAGAAATAAGAGTACAATGAACTCCTGTGCACCTATCACTCAGCTTCAGCAATTACCAACTTGAGGTCATTCTTGTTTTCTCTCTAGTCTCCACCCAACCATCTCCCAAACAGATATTTGATAAATCTCAGACATCACATCATTTCACATGTAAATATTTCAATATGTATCTCTAAAAGGTAATGGAACTCAGGTCTCTTGACTCCTAGTCCAGTGCTCTTTTATACCATGTCATGGTTGTGTTACTTATACTAGAATCATGTCAGAAGTTGAATGAATGCATGAATGAAAGAAAAGCAATATTCCATCTTTATTCTTTCCAAGAAGTTAGTTGCAAAAGCAATCTTTTTAGAAGACCAGTAAAGAGAGTTGCGTGGCCACCCAAGTTAGAAATCTGTGACAGCAATGACCTCTTACAAGAAGTCCTCTGCGAGCTGGATTTCCAGCTCTGCCTTGCCACTGGCAAGCTGCAGTCTTGTTTATCCATGGGCACCTGCTACTCAGTATTGATGGGTGGATGGAAGGCAGTCAAAGGCTGCCCACTAGTCAGAGCCCTTCATACACCATCTGCTACATATAAAAACCAAACCTGTTGCCATCAAGTCAATTCCAACTCATAGCAACTCCATGTGTTACAAAGTAGAATTGCCCCATAGGGTTTTCTTTTCTTTCTTTTCTCTCTCTCTCTCTCTCTCTCTCTCTCT